AGCTACCTACGAGTCTCCTCTCTGCTGAGAGCCGAACACTCATCAAGATGACCTGTCTGTGGACAGGAGCTACCTACGAGTCTCCTCTCTGCTGAGAGCTGAACACTCATCAAGATGACCTGTCTGTGGACAGGAGCTACCTACGAGTCTCCTCTCTGCTGAGAGCTGAACACTCATCAAGATGGCCTGCCTGTGGGAAGGAGCTGCCCATTTCGGGTCTCCTGAGAGCTGTTTTGTCACTTAGTGAAGCACCTCTTCACCTTGCTCACCTTCCAGTTGTCCATCTACTTCATTCTTCCTGGAAGCAGAGCAAGAACTTGGGACCCACTGATGGTGGGACTGAAAGAGCTGTAACAGAAATAGGACTGAAACACACCCCCGCTCACCACATAGTGGGCGGTGAGAAGGAGAGAAGAGCTGTGGCCCTTTGGGAAGCCCAGACCTAGGCTCTCCCCTTGCCAGGGCGGTGACACCCTCTCTGGGGCTCTGCGGTTCGCAGTGTCTCCAAGCTTCCAGGTATCACTGCATTCCCTGGTGCCTGCAATGGAAGTTACTTGTGGTATACCTGGTCTAGCTGCAGCCTCACACAGGGCAGGCACCTGGAGCTGCCCACCCCGCTGCAGCTGGCACACCTGGTTACATGCAGTAGCTTGGCTCCATGCTTGCTCACACACCCCTCGTCACTCCATGCCTGGCTTGCCCTTGGCAGGCATGGGATCTGGGATGGTAGTGTGAGCCGAGTCCAGCCTGCTGGGCCACATGGTTGGAACAAACCCATTTTGTTTGTGGGTACAAGCAAAACCCAAGCAGGGGTTTTGCCGGCCACAGAGGTTTCCAGCTGGCAAAACAACACCCTAAGGATCCTGTGACACTGTCATTTATAAAGCACTCACTGTGTGCCAGGAACTATTTTAAGGGCCTTAGGTTTATTAAATCATTTAATGTCCCCATTCCCTAATGAGGTAACTTGGCCAGGGTCACAGACTTGGTAAGGAATGCTGCTGCAATAAGAATGCAGCTGACCTGGCAACGAAGTCCTTCGTCTTGGGCGTCTTACTGCACTACTTTTCGGCCCTCTTGGTTACGTACGATTCAACCGTTTTACCAGGCTGAGCAAGGAATAGGAACATCTTCCCCAAGGAGGGTTTTGCTAGTGGAGCCTGATGCTATAAGGCAGTGGCTAAAATTGTCTTTGCCCCTAGGAAGTTCTATTTCTCAAGTTTTCAAATCTGAACACTCCCTTTGACACTTTTCTTTAGCTATCTTTCACTATGTTTTCAGGTTCTGGATGTGTCCTGCTGGCCTGATAAATGACAAATTATGTATTTTTCGAGTATGCTGGTATTGTGAGATTTAACTGAGGGTGGCTTTGTCTCTGGGTCCTTGTGTAGCCCCAGGCACCACAGAGGAGGTGGAAGACATGATGGTATTCACTTTCAGAGAGCAAGGGCCATTGTTAGGGAGAGGAGGAAGGATAAAGCAAGGAAGGAAGCCAAGGCAGAAAATGTGGGGATGTGGTCTTGGACATCCTACTGCATGGCTTTGACAAGGTCTTACGCAGTTGACCATGATCAAAGCTAGTAGCCAAACAGCTGCGCTGTTCTTGAGAGGCTGCCACAAGGTGCAAAGTCCACAAGATCTGGCTTGCCCTGGAGCTAAGTCTTCAGACCTTGGTCTGGCTTCTGACTCTTTGCTGGGAGGAGAGTTGGGTTTGAGTTACCACAGCAGGCCATATCCTTTCTCTTCCTGGAAAGGACATCATGCTCATGACATTTAGCACATTTATACTTGCTATAAAAAATCCTTAGAGTATTTATGAAAGCATTCTAAAATTTATAGCTTTGCTGGAGTACTGAATGGTATTTACAAGCCTAAAAAAGTGGAATCATCTCAGTGGTTACAAGTAAGAGCTTCTATTATCGGAAATTCTGCATGCAATGTGCATTGTCAGCTTCCATTGTGTGTGTGTGTGGCCCAGCTACTTGAGCAGTCATTGCAGGAGCCCAGCTTACTTACCCATGGTTGTCATGAGCTCCCTGCAATGCTTCCGTTAGGATAAACTACTAGGAATGTAACTCATCCATTATTAAGGAAAGCACAAGTGAGAGCTAAACGTGTGTGACATTAAGTTACATTCAATAATGCATTCTAAAGTCTGTTGTTTGAGGTATTTGGAATACCTGCTGTTCTGAAATGGATAACAAGACACTAAATATGTGTGCACAATATTGCACAAGACGTTATTAAACATCGATAACTAAACTTACCACTGTATTTTCCAAATACTTCTTTTGCCATAATTGCTTTTATCTTTTTAAAATTTGCATTTTGCATATATTTTTCATGCTGGTTTTTCTGGAGAAAAAATTCACCCCAAAGAAACTTTTTTTTTTTTTTTTAAATCATAGAGCAGGTCAGTTTCTGGCAGAGCCTTGCCAAGTGGTTGGGGGTTTGGTAAACGGTGACACTTGCTTCTGGGGCAGGATAGCAAGAAGGTATAGCAGTCTTCACAACCAGGGGTCTTACCTTTTAGATTTTGGAGACAGTTGAAAGCTGTACTGAATCAGTGTGGGTGTACTTCTGCAGGCAGGGGAAGATGTGGAAACTGATAGGTCACTTATAGATTTTATCCTTACAAATACTATAGTTGTTGCTAGCAAAAATTACTGTGGTCATTTTTTCACTGAGCATCTGTGGGGGCATTTTCTCTTCTCTTAATTCAGGAAGCTTTAAGGGACATGTGGTTTTGGAATTTGCTTTTTTGTTTGGGATTGAGAAAAATGTTGCAGTATCCCTGAAAATAAGGTCTCTGTGTTCAGACTGTTCCAAGAACTTTGCAGGAGTTCTTTCACTATGCAAAAGATGTTTGTAATAATAATCTGTATTTGTCACCCGTACTTGGGGCAGGGGGATATATATCAGTTTGTTCTATTTAACAGTGTAAAGTAATAAAATTATTTCTTTATAAAAATACCCACTAATTAAACTATCACACTAATCATACTGACCTCTCCATTACATTCTGTTACTGAGCTCTGCCCTTATTTCCTAAGGAACTGGAAAATGTGCCTGCCCTGGGTTGGTATGGGCTTTGGAAATATGGTCTCCTCATTCAATTAGAAAGCAAGAGGTCATTCTTACCATCTTTATAGTAACAACAAGATAATTTCCTCAAAGTGGATTAGTATGCAAGTTTGACTTGGTGGTTTCATGTGTATACATTGCTGTATCAGGTAAAAATGGGGAAATATCAGACAAAAATTATGTAATTTAAAGACTAAGAAGATGGTTATTCTATCATACTTTATATCCTCCTGTTAAGTACTACCAATAATATTTAAATCATGGCCTCATTATAAATATAAGAAACCAAAGTGTTCAGAATGTATATATATGCATATATATGTGTGTGTATGTGTATGTATATATAGTGTATGTGTGTGTGTGTTTTAGAGATGTGGCCTCGCTATGTTTCACAGGCTGGACTTTAACTCCTGGGCTCAAGTCCTCCTGCCTCATCCTCCTGAGTAGCTGGGACTACAGGCATGAGCCACTGCACCCTCGAACTATTTTATTAGCAGGGAGTATACTGTTAGTGCTAGATAATATGATTCGACTAAGTAAACAATGCTCTTGTGCCTCATTTGCTTGGAATGGGAGAGAGTAGGGGAGTACATAATTTATGAGGACTAGAAATAAAAGTTTCTTGCGGAGAGCAGTTTTCATTTTATTTTAATTGCTTCAATTTCATGTTTGCTGTTTATCATCTAGTTCTCATCTTGTTTACATTTTCAAAAGAGCAGTGATTCTCAGTATGTTTCTTACTGAGTCAGGGCTCAGTAACAGGGGCTAACCTGGCAATACTGTGGTGTGGGGGAAAGGGATCCAAAAGGACCCCAGATGATTCTGCTGCTCGTCCCTCCTCTTGTGGTCACTGCTCCCAAGCCCTCCGTACTGCCCTCCTATCTCCTTGTGTGTTGGATTAGGTTTATTATAGCTGCTATGGACATGGTTGCCTAAATCTGTGGAATGTTTTGCTAAATGCTTCTGGTGCAATAGTCCACATTAAGCTTGTAATTCCCATTGTTGTTTTCTTTAACCCATTCTTTATCCTTAGTCTTTTACTCACTTGATCACTTTATGATTTTGCACTTTGACATGCTGTAGGTTCATTAAGAACTTTTACTGCAAGCCGCAGAGCCTTATTTAACATTATGATTAGCCAAACTCTTATTGTGTTTGAGCTAAGTGATGACAATGTATTTGATTGGAGCCTCGTAATTGTTATTTTAAAATCAAAGTAATGGATTATGATCTCAGAAGAAGAATATGATCCAAAAGAATAATAATAATAATAATTAGAACAGCAACCACTTAGAAGAAAATTAATGCCCTATCATGGACCAGAGGCCCTATGTGCCTTGGCTCTGCCTACCTGTGCAGTCCCGTCTTCCACCCACATTCACCCTCTCCTGGATTAGCCTCACCGCAGCCTTCCAGTTTCTTCTTTCCTGCCTTGGGAATTAAACAAATTGTTCTCTCTGCCTGGGAGCTCCGCCACTGGTGTTTCTCTTGGTTAGCTCTCACTTTGCTAGGGAGGCTTCCTTTGGCCACAGCATATAAAGACATCTACTTCCACTCCACCACCTGTCCACACACGCATGTCACCGTCTCACAGCATGCTATTTGTTTCCTTCAATGTTAAGAAACCTAAGTTGTGTCTCCTTGGTACTTGTCCGTCTTGCCTACTGGCCTCTAAGCTCCATGAGGGTGAAGATTATACCTGTCTCATTCACCACTGCAGCCCGAGTGCCATCCTGAAACCTGGCATTAGGTGGATACTCAATACATATTTGTAATTGAATGAGTGGATTATTCAGAAGTATCTTTTTCCTGAGCACATATCCAGATATCCTATGTTAGTACTTCCTGAGTCTATTTGTGGTAACATATGATCTTCCAGTGGTTGAATTTAACCAAGCTGTGCTGACTTTTCTCAGGCATATGAAAGATCAGAATAAGAAGGTGGCCAACCTCAAGCACAATCAACAGTTGGAAAAGAAGAAGAATGCTCAGTTATTAGAAGAAGTCCGCAGGCGAGAAGATAGCATGGCTGACAACTCACAGCATTTGCAGGTAAGCACAGGCTTCTCTTCTTAATCCCTAAATAACTAGAGATGGACTTTCTCAGAAATGTTACCATTGTAGCCAGAAAATATGCACAGAAATGTGGACTTGCCTTTGCCCTGGGTCTAGAACTAACAGTGTATGCCCAAGGAACCCAGCAGGTCTTTCCCAGTGTGGGTCATCATTTTCAGAATTAAAAGCCAATTATGGTATAGCCTAGAAATACAGTGCAGAGTCTTTTGGTTCCTGTACCTCACCTTAAAAAGGCAAGGGCTGCATTTATATAGTTGGCAAGAAACTTAAAACACAGAAATGTCTTCCTTTACAATTTATATTTAAATTGTTTTGGAAATAGAAAAAGGCGAATGTGTGTGTATTATCACAGAAGGTATTTGGGTGAGGATACATGCAGCTGATCCCAGACAGTTTACAAATCCAGTTTGTTTTGTTCAAGACTGTGAGGCTCAGACACAGATCATTATTCTGTCTTCTCCGTGAATATAGTTATCTTTCAATGGACAGCTCTATCTTAGAAACAAACCAACTCACTGGAAACACCATTTTTTCCTCATTAACCTTCCTTATTTTTGGCGAAGGAGTGCTCCCCATGTACTTAATAAAACATTCAAGCTATAACAGGGCATTTGCTTTGAAGTTTCTTTATTTATTCCAGTGTGCCTTTAAACAGAGCAGTTCAAGCTGGCTGGAGTTCATGTTAAATTTTGGTTGTTAATTAGTGTTTTTCTCTAGTTATATATTAGGTTTCCTCCTTGGAGACAGGAAAAGTTAGATAATTTCAATATGTACTCATAATTCATCTTTTTAATTTGCCAAAAGAGAAATCAATAATTATCCCAGAGTAGGAAATACAGGGAAATACCTTGCATAAAGCATGGCACATAGAGACTAGTTAATATTTGGGGTTTTTTTTTTTTTCTCTCTCTCTCTGTCCTAGACATGTTTTCTGGTGTCACTGAAGCCCCTTGACACTGATGCTTGATTTGCAGTGTTCACTGAATTGTGAGACAATAGGAGGTGGGCCCAGAACTTAAAAGAGGACCTGACCCTAGGGCCCACCTTGCTATGGTGTGTTATTCTATAAAACAAGAATAATAATTGCATCTGCTCCAGAGTAGTCGTGGGAGTTAAAGAGTCAAGGCATATAAATAATTTAGAATTGTACTTGGCACAGACTATGCCCAAAATAAGTGTTCATGACTAACAGTTGTTATAATAACAAGGAAAAGGCAAATGAAACATTAAAAACGATCGATTTGTCTACTGTACGCAGAGGTATTGCTACAGTTCTAATCTGATATGCATTAAGCATCAAAGTTTTTGTCTTTTCTATATGTAGTAATTTTTTCTTTTCTAAGGACACATTTAGTTATGGAAATTAATGTCTTGTTTTGGCCCATGAACTTTTGTATAGCAGTATTTTCATAACGGGCCTTGATAACAACCTCACAGCCCTACTCATAAAAGATAGCATGGTCTGGAATTGCTTAGTTGCATTCCTGACCACCCCAAATAAAGGATAGCATTTGAAATGCAATAAAAAGTAATCACGATTAATTTTGATGAAAATGTCTCTGGTTAAGGTTAATAGAGAGTAAACCTCCCACTTTCCTGGATTGTTAAGCAGATGTGCTCAGATGTAGTAACTACTGCCTTCTGAAAACGAAACTTTCTGGAGGCACTTGATTTTTTTAATATTGCTGTTGTTTTGAGCATTTCCTCCTTATAAGTTAGCCTGTTAAGCCTTTTAAGTGTCAGTCAGCCAGGATTTGGCTTGTCTGGTTGGTGGTTGTGGCATTGGCACCTGCTAATTTTGATTTGTTTCACATTAGCATTGGGTAACAGTTGGATACACTGGCTTCATGATTTCAACCAACCCAATATGTGTTATATCCAGAAAAATATAATGTAGAGTATTGCCTACAATAATAATAGCTAGTAGATCAGGCTTCAAAGAAGAGCACCAAGAGATTCAGCTAGTTGGTATGAAAGTTGGAAACAAAGTTGAATGAAGATAGAGTGACTATGCTTTTTATTGTTCAAAACAAACACGAAAGGCAATAGACAAAACCTGTGTTACCTCAGTCAAACCTAGATATATAGTATAGTATGAAGCATTTTACAAGTCCAGTCTTCTTTATTTCTTGAGTTTATAGTTTTCCAACAGAAATTACAAACTCAAATGCCTTCAGGGTTTAGGCTTTCAACATAAGGAACAACCTTGTGTGTTGGAAAAATAATGATGTCTGGCTCTTTCTGCCTGTTTTTTTATTGCTTATTTTTGGTAGAGATGTGTTAGTTAGCAGTTGCCATACTAATGTTGTTCTGTGCAACAAATCACCCCAAAATGCAGCGGCTTTATAGTACCAATAGTTTATTCTTACAGATTTGCAGGTTGACTGACTGGCCCAACTGGCCTAGGGTGGGCTTGGCTGGAAACTTCTTCTACTTACTGCACGTCTGTGGTGGTGGCTAGAACAGCTCTGTTACACATGTGCATTCTGAGGGTCAGGCTGTAGAGGTGTCAGCAACCCAGGGAAAACTCTTCTAATGACAGTTGCTGAGGCACAAGAGAATAAGCAAGCATATGCAAGGCCTCATAAGGCCTAGTCTTGAGCTGGTATTGTGATTTTCACTCTTTGCATTTGCCAAAGCAAAGCACATGGCCAAAGTCACAGATTGGAAAAGTATACTCTACTCACAAAGACAACATTGTACAGGAGTAGATACAAGGAGAGGTGAAGAATTTAGGCCCATCACTCAGTCTATCAAAAGAGACAAGCCCTAGACAGATATTTCTCTATTATAAGAAAATTAGCATATGCATAATGAAAAATTTCAGCTGTGGGTGACCTTAGTGTGTGGATATAATTTAGGGTAGTGGGGAACTATAAGGAACTCAAGAACCCTTACTCATCTAAGGAAGTAGTGGCCACTAAGCTCTGGTTGAACATTGCTGTAAAGGTGGGCCTAGCATGGTGGGACTTATGATTATCCAAGATAATCCACAAAATGGGAATTTGTATGTGAAATCTACGTGTTTTAGAAAGTTAGTTGAATTTTTTAAACACTGTGGGATCCTGTAAAGCACACGTGCACATGAGTTGTCCATTGTGGCTTCTGCTGCATAGCCTGGTGCTCTGATCCCAGTGGGGTCTACATGGTATAAATAAAGTACCTAAGAGCACACCCTAGTTAGCTGAACTTGACCCATTGGAAAGAGGTGGCAGTTTAGTGTTTGTCCTGATTCCTCATTTTGTTTGCAGATACCTTGAATTATTGTTTCTCATAGAAATTACCCACAATCTACAGGAATAGGGAGTGTTCTTGATTTAGTTTCTCAAATCATTTTTTTGGAGCATTAACAAGGAGAACAGGAAGGGAAGGATACAGACCCATGGAGATGAACTGGCCAGTGTTCAAATGCTGGCGCTTGTTATTATTAGCTGAGGGCCTTGAGTACGGCAGAGAATCTCTCTGACCCTTACTTTCTTCATCTGTAAATGGGGATTGCAATATTTGCCTCCCTGGGTGGGTTAAACAAAATAAGGTTTATGAAAGAACCTAGCACAGTACCTGACATATGTGAACTTCAGTTACTGAAGTTTTCTCCCAGAGAGACTGATAATGAGCTTTTAATCATAGAAGACAGTGACCATTGGGAGTATCAACCTACAAATTCTTTGCAACTATTTTATACTGATGAATAATACAGATATAGAACTCACATCAGTAAATGAAAATTCCCAATAAAGCATTAAAAAACATTTTGGGCAATAAGGAGGAAAATTAAAACATTCTTCAAGTTAATGTTGAATTGTGTGTGAAAGGTGGATGTGAAAGATCGTGATTTTCTTGTATAATTCTTTAGAGCTTTTCCCCAGATCACAGATTATGGAGCATGATATTTATGTCTGACCTTGGGGCGTGGGGCTTCTGTGTGTCCCATCAGAGCCCACATGGAGGTTTTTCAACAAGGTGTCTTTCTGGGGATTCACACCAAATCATTGTTTATAGAATGGATTCCCCCTCCCCACTTTTTTTTTAAGCTCTAGCCATTTCTCGCTGAGTAAATATGCCAATTTGAAACCCCACTGGATATCCTTGTAGATTTTGGCTGCATTTTTCCATGTGTAGCTTATCGAGTTAATAAACTAACTTTCTAAAAAATGCACAAGCCAATGTTTTATGCTCCTTTTCTGTTATATGTCTGCAGAATTCTCTTCAATTTATTGCCTGAAAACTAAAGTCTGTTCTTGTGTGCTTCCGTTTCCAAATTATAGGTTACCAGGGAACTGTAAAGTCTCTTCTCTGCCCGTGGTTAAACCCAAGTGTGATCATTTTAAAAAGCAAATGAATGTTCTCATTTATTCTTGTCCTTTTAATACAGTTCTAAAAAAAAAGCCAGAAAGACAATTTTATTTTTTAATTTGTGCAACCCTGTGCAGCCAATATCTTTTTTCCAAGGGGACTTCCTTTACTTTGCTCCTCCAATTAGAGTTGGAATCAGCTAACAGAGGAAATGTAGCAAACAACATAAACCTCAAAAATGCATAGCTTTCAGCAAAACATATAGTTCATTATGGAGTTTCCAAGGTTTGCTAAGTTGTTTCTTTGCAGAAGGACGTGTATATCTTAAGCAGCATTTTTTTAAGCTTCATATCTATATGTTCATCTCTCCAAGTCACTAAGTTAAAATTCATTTCTTTTTCAATTCCCTGGGCTTAAAATTGTTACTCTAACTGTGATCTATGTTCATGTGTTATGGTACACTTACCTAAGTACTGCCATTAGAAGAAACCTGACCAGCAGAGTTAAGAGATTCATCATTGTCAAAATGAGTTTATTTAGTTGCTAGTTTTTCATGGCTGTTTGGTAGGCATGGTGTAGAGTGATTTAGGGAGGCTCCATTTCAGCCATCATTTTCAACATATGGAAAAGATGAGGAAGGTCATCCTAGCCTAGGTTTAAAAGACAATCCACATTTGTTT